CACTGACCTCTCCCCATCAGTGTCCTGTCCCTGTCCCCAGTGTGGGCCCTGGGTGAGGGGCTAGCCAGCCTATGGGAGGCCGGCACAGGCAGGGGCCTCTCCAGAGCGAAGAGTGCCCCGATGGGACATGCACAGGGGCTGGGACGGTGGAAGCAGGGAATGGATGTGGGGGCCCTGGAGGAGGCTACCGCTGTGACCCAAGCCGCAGGTGAGGACGCACTCAAGCAGATGGCCTGAAGGGGCTGGGGTGCGGGGGGCAATGCGCAGACTCCAGAGACCAGAGTCAGCCTGCCTGGCATGAGGTGAGGCAGAAAACAAGCCCCCGGACCTCACTCGGAACCCCGGGCAGATGATAGTACGGGGGAGCAGATTTGTTGAGGTGGTAGAAACATTGAATTAGAAGGCCTAGGGGTCCTAAGGCGGCGGCCCAGGTGTGGGCTGGATGTGTGGGTCAGTGGCTGGAGATGTGGGTCCAGCCATCATCAGCCTGGAAATAGTACGAGGCCACAGGAGGCTGGGGGAGCTCACCTGAGGAGAGTGCAAGGCCATGGCCCGCTGCAAGGATGCCTGCAGAAGGGGCTGGAGGGAAGCAGCAAGGGAAGGAGGTAGGAAAACCCCAGCTGCCATGGAGGGAGCTTATGCGCATGTGCAACACAAGCACCCCGTGTGTGCACACAGTGCACCAACACCCATGTACCCATGTTCACACGTGTGTCTAAACACGCATATGCTCACCCGGAGCACACACTTGTGGAACGTGTGGTGTGCACAGACACACAGGCACGTGCTCCGTGGACCGTTCGCAGGTGCTGGGCAGGCACAAGCGTGCACACACGAGGACGCGTGCGTCCCCACGAACAAGGCCCTTAGAGAGAGAGCAGCCACGTCAGTGCTGCTGAGGGGCAGCGGGAGGGAGGACCCAGCAGATTTGTCCACTAGGAGCTCAGACAGGACCTCGTGGGGGAGGGGCCTCAAGGGCAGTGGGGGTGGAGGAAGTTGCTGTGGAGAGGAAGACCCACAGAAGGTCCGCACCTCTGTCAAGAAATTTGGCTGTGAAGAGATGAGAGGGTGGCAGAGGGAAGGGGGTGCGGATTTCAGGGGGGGCTCCATTTACCTTTGCCCTTTGCAGAAACAGAGCCTGTTGGAGTGCTGATGGGGAGGGGCTGGCCTGGATGAGGGGGTAAAAAACGTGAGAGAGGAGGGCAGGGCGAAGCTAGCCCCACAGACAGCCTCCAGTGGCTTTGGCAGGAGGGTCAGTGCTTCTGCGGGGACAGGAGGGACGGAGGACCAAGTGGCTGCAGTCACACACAGGTTAGTGGCTTGGTGGCTGGACATGAAGTCACATCAGCCCGATGCCTTCCGCCTTCTGTTTTCTCTGTGCAGCAGGAGGTGCTCAGCTGACCGGGGTGGGTGTGGAGAAGATGGACCATAGGATCCATCCATGGCGGGGTTTTTGGCCAGGTGTGTGGGACAGAAGGGTAAGGAACAAGGATGTTGAGGGTGTTGGCAAGAGAATGACTGCAGTCGTGGACCCTGGGGTCAGTCTGGGAAGGGAAGGAGGTGTAGACAGGAGGGTGGGTGGGCAGAGCCTCTGGAGAGGGACTTTGGAGAGTGGGCATGGTGCGGTGAGTAGCCAGGAGGGGAGCCGTGGTCAGAGTGAGCTGAGCTGTGGACGGGGTCACAGGGTCAGGCTGTGGCTCTGGGAAGGGGCCCCCGGGGCCACTGTTAGGACACTGACTTAAAGGAGGGGCTTGGGTCAGAGAGGAGACTGCAGGGTGGTGGTGAGGACCCCATGGGTAGATGACAGAGGGAGGTGGGGCTGACAGAAGGGTGTGCATGGGGTCGTTATCCTAGCTCGGCGGAGAACAGACCCAGACACCATGCTTGGGAATCCCCTTTCTCTGCTGCGGGGCCCACCAGGAGAAGGTGGAGACCTCCTCTGCAGGTATTGTCCTCAGGCAGAGCCGGGGTCAGGGATGGGGGTGAACCCTGAGGGGGCTGTGGAGTCCTAGGGTGGGAGAGAATCTGCCCCTTCTGGAGGCCCTTGGCCTCAGACAGGTCTACTGATTGGGGGTGCAGGGGTGGGGGCATAGGGGTGCCTGGAAGGGGCCCTGGAGAGTGGCCAGAGGGGCCCCAAGGCCCTCTAGTTCATACAAGGCCTGGCCACATCAGCAAGAACACTGCCCAGTGGGTAGCCTGCTGGCTCTGGGCCCCCAGGGGTAACTCCCCCTCCTACCTGCGGAGTCCCCTCAGGGAGGCCCCCTAGCTCGAGCCCACCTCCCTAAAGCCGACAGTTCCACCCCTGACTCTTCCACGTGTTCTGCAGGACAACGGACCCCTGGACCCCTTTCTGCAGCACGTACCTGTGCCCTGTGAGCCCTGGTGTGCCATGTTCACAGACACCCCCAGTGCCGCCCCTACCAGCCCTGCCGCCCACCGCCACCACCACGCAGGCTGAGCACACAGTCTCCAGCCCCACCTGCTCCTGCAACGCCCTCAGCCACCCATGTGCAGGTACCATGACGCGTCTACACACTGTCGGCTTCACGGAGCCCACCGAACAGTTCCATGCCCTGCCCAGGCCCTCCAGTGCTGTCATGTCCCTGGACTCACGCAGACTTAGGGAAGGGTCTGACCCTGCCCTGGCACCCATGGATGCCTGCTCCCTTCACCATGGACCCACATGTATACCCAGCCACTGCCCCCCCCCCCGGCCCACAAGTCACATGTGAACAGTCCTCTGTGGCTTTGGCCACCAACATATCTTGCCCCGGCCAGAACCAGCCAGAACAGCTTGCCGTTTGCTCGGCCATCTGTCCGTCCAAAGACAGAGTTATCTTGGTGCTCTCTGTGGCCAGGGGCCCCCCACGCTCTGGAACTCACAGAAGCTGACTTTTGTTCCTCTTCCTGCCTTTGGGACGGCTGCCCTGGCCTGCTTGCCCTGGTCCCCAACTGCTGGGGCAGTTACTCCCCGCCATGCCCTGGCCGGCCACAGATGCGTCTTTGACGGAGATCCCACTGAGGCCAGAGGGAGTCTCCTGGGGCAGCTGGGGCCCTGGGCAAGAGTGAGGTGGAGGGGCAGGGCCAAGCAAGGAGGAAGGGCCCAGCTGCCCTGATGACATACCTTTTTTTATTCTTTGGGCCTGTGGGGAGTTCTGGGTGCCTTTGGACTTGGAATTCTTTTTAAGAAAAAAAAAAAAAGATAAAAAAAAAAAACCTCAAAGCTGATTTTTCTTGTTACAGAAAAACTAATATAAAAGCATTACCCCTTTCTGGCAGCCCATGGCCGTGTCTGTGTATGCTTCCTGCCAGGCACTGGACTGGTGCCGGCTGGGGGTGGGCAGGACACAAGAACCTCAGGGCCCGTCCAGACAGGCACGGGTTGGTGCAGAGTTCAGTTGTTGGGCCCACAAGTCATCACATAGGCAGAGGTCCAGGGGTGTGGGGTTTAGTTACAGGTAAGGAGGCCTGAGGCCTCCTTGGTGGGGGTCGGCGGGTCTGGCCAAGACCACCACACGGGGCTTGTGAGCTCACTCTGTACTTCCAGAGGCTGAGCATCTGAGCAAAGGACCTCCTGGCTTTGGGCCCCTCAGGCTCTCCCGGAGGACCACCTGCGTGCTGACGGGGGTGTCCCCAGGATGGCCAGGGTGGGAAAGAGCCTGGAGGCAGGCCCGGGAGATAGAGCAGAGGCTCCTTGGGGGCCCAGGTCTTTGCAGTTCTGACCGGGGAAGCAGTGAGGGACATGCCAGAGCTGGAACCCGGAGGGGGAGCACCTGGCTCAGAGCAAAGAAGGAACTCTGACAAGCAGAGCCGCCCCACAGTGGAGGGGTGCCCAGGAAGTAGTGCCCTCCTGCTCCTGGGGGCAGGTAAGCATGCTCCTGTTGAACCCAAGGAAGAGCAGCTTTGCCTTGGGGTGGGCCAGGCTCCATTGCTCAAAGGGCCTTAGAGAGGTGACACGGGGAAGGGGTGTTTAAGCCAGTCCACACGATTGTGGGACTGACTGATAGCTTGACCTCTGACCTCTCTTCAGTGATTAGGCCTTAATGGGGGGAAAGATGTTCCCATGGTAGACCCTTTAGCCCCTGGCCCTGCAGTGGAACGGGGATTCTAGGATCAGGGCCCTTCATGGACTCCTCAGACTACAGGCCTGGGAGGAGGATAGGAAGTAGTTCAGGACCAGGAGGTGGGACCACGGGCAAGTGCCCTGCTGAGTCTCCGAGGGACTTTGGGATGCCCATCCCCACCCCCCCACTTCAGGGTCTCCTGGGGGCTCCTCTGTGCAAGACCCCAAAGCTGCATCTTCTCCCCAGAGCACATTCAGAACTGGCTGTGTAGCTGGGGCTCTTCCATGTCCCCTGTGAGCCTCCTGGAGGCCTCCTGGGGCTGAGGAGAATGAGGGATAGAGTCTGGAAATGTCTTTGGGCACGTCCCCTCCTGAAAGCAAAGCATTCACCAAAGGGAGCCAGACTATTTGAGGAAATTTGTCTCTCTTGTGGGGACTGTTTTCTGTGGTCTGTCCACACTGTGGCTGTGGAGCCAGGCCCCCAGGCAAGCCGATTCATACTCTGCCTCCTGCATATGACAGCTCAGACAGGCCTGGCTTCATTCCAGCCCCCAGGACAGGCTCGTTTGCTCTCTGGCTTCCCTGGGCAGGCCCGTTCGCTGCCAGGCCAGCTAGACCTGTCTATCCTTCGGCTGCAGGGACAGGTCTGACCATACACAGGCTGCCCAGTCGGGCCAGTCTGCATAGCAACAAGCTGATATTATTAGCCCAATAAAGAAATGCTGGCCATGGTACGGTCGCTACGCCCACAAGACTTGAAAAACAAAATACCTTTATTTAGTTATCATGAATTTGCAGACATAGAAAGGAGTAGAAAATCTAACACTGCTTCATCAGAGGGCTGACCCCAGGGTCCCGGGGGCAGCTTGACCAAAGCATCTCAGGCCAACCTGCCTCCCTAGTCCTGGCTAGCCCACCTAGCCCGTGGGAGGCTGGCCCAGATGATTCTAAGGGTCTCTGCGGCTCTTCTGAAGACATCCCCTCTCCACATCAGCTGAGTTTTGTGAGAGACAACTGGTGGGATGGGCTGTGGCACGTGGCAGGCAGTGGGACTTGGCCTTGGGTCGGGCCATCCTCGGGGAGAGCTGTGTGTCGGAGGACATGTGTTACGGGGCAGGGAGGGGGATGGGCCTGGGCAGGGACACAGCTGGGGTAGAACCAGACTACTCTTGTGTCTTCATAAACTGAAGGCAGTGGCAGAGCTCCTGGAGGGGGCAGAGACCCTTCGCCTCTGGCCCTGCAGGCCCCCATCCCCTAGGAAGGACTGGCCAAGGCTTGAAAGATTTGAGTTAGAGTCCTGGCCCTGGCACTATTTGCTCAGAGACCTGGGGCAAGTGTTTTCAGCTCACAGAGCCTTAACCATTTGATCTGGAAAGTGGGCCCAGATAGCCCCTGCCTGCCACCCTCCTAGGTCATCACAGTAGACATGTCACAGCCGGGGCTCGGGCCATGCTGCCTCTTCATTCTCCAGGGGAGGCTCCCACCTACAGTGTTGCCCTTCTGAGCCTCCACTGTCTGACGAGTGGGGCTAATTCTGACCTCTCGAGGGTGGGAAGAGTGTGTGAGCCTGGCTCCCATCAGGTGCTCATAAAAGTAGGTGTGTTGAGATCCTGCCCTTGGTCCCAAGCCTGGAGGCCTCCCCGGACCCCCACAGCCCTGCAGGCTCAGACGTTGGTCTCAAGCTCACTAATCTCAATGGTGCAGTGGTCCAGACAGGTGGTAGCTGACTCCTCGTCCTGTTCCACCTGGATGGGGACGTGGTGGGGACAGGTGGGGCCAAGGGTCAGCTCTGAGGCCTCAGCCACGCTCTTCACACAGCCATTCTGCTGGGTTGCCACGATCTCCTGGAGGCTCACAGGCTTGGTCTCACAGGGCGGCACTTTCTGGGGAGGGGAAACAGGCCTCAGGAAGTAGCAGCAGGAAGAAGTAAGGTTAGACACTGGGGTGGACGGAATGAGCAAACCGTGTGATTGGTTTCCTACAGATGTGCTGTGGGACCTTGAGAGGTCACCCAGGCCCTCTCGGGGCCCCAGTTCCACTCTGTCCTGCTTCCTTCTGAGCCTTCCTTCTGAAGGCTCATGGTCCGGCAAGGGAGTTGGTGGCTCCCCTGCCTGTCCCCCCATGGAGTGGGCTAGCCTGCTCCACAGAGTTACGGAAGGAGCCCTGAGAACCACAAAGCCCTGTGCTGCCCAAGTGAAGCTGGTTGGTGGACAAATACCACCTTCCACAAGGGCCCAGGCTCCCTGAGGGCAGGGCTCTCTCTTCCTTTGCTCCCCTCTGCTCCTCCCATGATCTACCACCACAGTGAGGGCTCAGCAAGCAGCTGCTAGAGGACTCGGTCACCCCCATACAGAGACCAAGGCCAGAGGGCTGGGCAGAAGGCTGCCCTGAGGCCCTGCCTCCCCCCAGCTCTGCCCTCTCAGTGGGGGTGGGGAGGGTAGGAGGGTGGGGGAGTATGAGGGTGGGTTGGGGGGAGGCTGTACTCTCACCTCAGTGCCTGTGTCCTGAGCGAAGTCCTTCCGGCAGATGTGGGCCATGATCCCCGCGGCCAGTGCATCCCCCAGCACGTTAATCATGGTGCGGAAGCGGTCCCTAGCAAGCCAAAGTGGCCAGTGAGTGGAGATTACTTTGTTTTTTTCCCTAGGAGTTGCTGGTGGAGGGCAGTGCTCACCCTGGCAGCACTGGCGGCCAGCAGCCAGGCTGGAGCCCACAGCAAGGTGCCTTTCTGGTCCTCTTGAACCTACCAGCCCCCCGGGGGGCTGTGCCCAAGCAGGTTGACCCAAGGCTGGCTTCATGGGCACATCACTGTGCCCATGCTTAGAAGGGCCTGGGCTGGGTCTAATGCTCAGCTCCCACCCTCTGGAAGTTCGTTACCCTTTTTGAACAGGGATAGGCACATTTTTAGTTTTGAATATTGGGCCCCACAAGTTATGCAGCCGGGCTGGTGTCCATGAGCAAGGCACCCCCACTAGGCCACACCACGGCCGTTCCCTGGGCTGCCTAAGGGGTGGGGCAGGCGAACCCCACTCACAGAGCCCAGTCGACAGCGATGATGAGGGTGATGTCGTCAGTGGGCAGTCCCACAGAGGTAAGCACGATGACCATGGTGACGAGCCCAGCCTGGGGGATGCCAGCTGCCCCGATGCTGGCCGCGGTGGCCGTGATGCTGCAGGAGGGGGAGGGAGAGGAAGAGGAGGAGCAAGAGGGGCAGGCCTCGCTGCTGGGGCCCTGGCCCCAAGAAGAAAGCCAGAATGCCAGGGCCTCTGGGGACAGCCATATGGGGCAGGGGTTGTTAGGAAAGCCACAGCGGGAAGTTCTCGAGGTGGAAGGGTGGGGCATGGCCCTGCTCAAGGTCCTCTGGCCCCATGGCCTCCATTCAGGGCCTCAGCAGAACCTCCTGAGGAGTTTGTGGAGAAGCCTGTGCCTGGAGCCACTGCCTCTGTAGGGGTCCAGGAAGCTGACCAGAGAGTCCGGTCAACCAGCACATAGCTCTCTGCCCAGCCTCCCTCTGGGGCCTGGTTCCCAGGGCCAGACTTGTGCCCTTGGGCTGACATGCAAGGCCTTCCCCACCGCCCCTGCCCCTCCCCCAGCACCCCTCCCTCAGTTCCAGCCACACTAGCAGTCCCTCCCTCCCTCATCCTGTCCCTAGCCTCTGCTTGCCCTGTGCCTGCCTGCAGCCCCTCTCTGCCCTGCATGTCCAGACTGCAGGACCTCCTCTGGGCCTCAGCTTCCCAGCCTGCTCAGAGCTCCCTCTCTGCAGGGCGCTGCTGGAGAAGGAGCCCTGAGTCACTGGCACCAGGTCACGTGCCAGCCACAGCACTGACTTGCTATGTGGCCGGGAACAAATGTCTTCCCTACTCTGCACCTCAGAGACCCCCTCCAGATGTGGGAGCTCAAGAATCCTGAAGGCCCTTCCAATGCCCTCCTCTCTCCCCCCACAGTCCACACTGGGTATGGGTGTCAGGTGTGTACCTGATGGTGATGATCTGGCCAAAATCCAGCTCATAGTTGTTGACCTGGGCAATGAAGATGGCAGCCACGGCCTCGTAGAGTGCGGTGCCGTCCATGTTGATGGTGGCGCCCACAGGCAGCACAAAGCGGGCAATGCGCCGGTCAATGTGGTTGTTCTCCAGCAGGCACTTGAAGGTGATGGGCAGTGTGGCTGAGCTGTGGGCAGAGGGCCCAGTGTCTGCCCACCACCCTCCTCTGGGGGCCTCTGGGCTGCCTTCCTGCCGGGGCAGGAATCTTGCCCCCAACCCAGGCAGCCTGCCCATCACTGGGGAGAAGAGGCTGAAGGAGCTATGCAGTGGTCTCAAGTGGCATCCTTGGGGAGTGTGTGATCAGTGGCCCAGCCGGGCCTGCCCAGGCCTAGTGCCCAAGAGACTCCCACTGACGGCACGGGTTGGGAAAGGAGTTACTACCAGCAGAGCACCTACTACGTGCCAGGCTTGTGCTTTACACACTCCTCCGGTCCTCTCGGCTTCCTGTCACGGGTTTTGAGACTATTTTACAGATGAAGAAACAGAAGTCCAAAGGACACAAGGAGCTGACTCGGAGTCACAGCGCTGGGCCACGTTTACATGAAGTGGCCACTTGCTGGATTTCGATTCCAGCCGTCCACTAGCCAAGTGGCTCTGGCAGCTTCCTCAACCTGTGTGTGCCTTAGTCTCCCTGTCCCACACGATATCTAGATCACAGCGCTATTAGGGTGGTTCAAGGAGAAAGCACTTTGAACAGTGTCCGAGACTTTGCAAACATGCAGGCAGCAGAGGCCCCTGTGACTGCTATTCTCGTGTTTGCGACTAGAGTTCCTGGTGGCCGTGCTGAGATGAACACTCAGGTTGGGGTGGCCCCAGGGCCCTTCCTCTGCCACAGGCCACGGCCTGGGGGCCCACGTCCACTTCTCAGTGTTCTGGGCCTGAGGCTGTGGCTCCTGCCAAGCAGGAGATGGCCCAGGGCTCCTGGCTGCAGCAGGGCTTGGCCTGTGGCCTATGGCCTGGGGGCTGGCAGCCACTTGGGACTTGGTCTTTCCTTTCTACCTCCTGGCCCTGCCCTGCATGGAGGTTCCTGGATGAGGCTTCTGGGGCTCCTCCCTGGGGCTGTGCTCCTCCTCAGTGCTTCCTGAGGTGCTTCAGCTGCCAAGGGAGGGGTCACGTGGCTGCTAAGGAAGGAGCTCTGTGGTGGCCTTCGTTCCCATTTGACAGACTGGGAAGGTGAGGCCCAGAGAAGAGAAGGCAATAAGGGCTAGAGGGAAGAGCTAGACTTTGGCTCCAGAGAGACACAGGCCTCAGCTCAGGTGACTTAGCTCGGACATTTGCTGTGGGGAAAACCACCCTTTCTTCATGGAGTATAGAGCATTTTCTCCCCCAATGTAGACAGCCGGGTTTGCATGACTCCCACTCCCTGGGCTCCACTGTGGGCTGGGACCCTGGAGAGTAGGTGCCATATCATCTAGCTCAGACCAGCCTTCTTGCCCTGTGGTGGGTTATCTCCATTCATTCCCATGGCAACCCTACAAGGCAGGGGTTACCATAAGCCCCAATCTCTGTGTGAGGGAATGGATGCCCAGGGAGCTCAAGTGACTTGCCCACAGCCATACAGCCAGTGGGTGATGGAACCGTGATTCCAATCCTGGTTGTCACTGGCTAGTGACACTGTCCAGGTTGTGACAGGGCATCCCGCCAGGGTGTCCCCGTGGCTGTGGATGGGCCAAGTCCCTAAACAATGCAGGGCCCGACTCCAACAGGAGCAACAGGCGACAGCAATTGTAGATTCATCCCTCTTCAGCTGTCCCGACCCCAGGTGTGCGGAAGCCACCCCCACATGGACTGAATAGGTCTTAGAGATAGAGATAGTAGGGGAGGGAAAGGCGTTAAGAGGCAATAAGGGGTTTCTGCCTCTCAGTGGGCAGGTGGGACCTCAAGCAATCCACTTAAAGAATTGGTCTCGGGGCGCCTGGGTGGCTCAGTGGGTTGGGCCTCTGCCTTCTGCTCAGGTCATGATCTCAGGGTCCTGGGATTGAGCCCCGCATCAGGCTCTCTGCTCAGCGGGGAGCCTGCTTCCCCCTGTCTCTGCCTGCTTCTCTGCCTGCTTGTGATCTCTGTCTATTAAATAAATAAATAAAATCTTTAAAAAAAAAAAAAAAGGAATCGGTCTCATTACCAAAGTTACCTCCAAGTTTGTGGAGTGGGCCGTACGGACACTTGCCATGGTTCCATGGCTATGGACACGTGATGGCTGGACAGATGAACAGAGTTCAGCCACTGTCATCCCCTACCCTGCCCATCCCCCGGGGCTACCTGGAGGAGGTGGCCAGTGCGATAAGCAGGGCCTGGAGGATGCCGCGGATGAACACAATGGGGTTCTTTCTGGTAATGAAGAAGTAAAGCAGGGGCAGGATGAAGAGGCCGTGGACCACCAGCCCACACACCACGGTGATGGCATAGAAGCCCAGCTTCTTTCTGACGGCCGTGGGGTCGTCCATCTCCAGGATCTTGCCGGCGATGAGGAACACAATGCCGAAGGGGAAGTACCTGGGGGCAGGGTGTGGACCGGCAGCCAGCTCAGGGCCAGGCAGGCAGGGGTCCCAGGCAGCCTCAGCACCGTATCGCTGCCTGGCCCAGGGCCCCCTGAGCCTCCCGGGGCTCCCGTGAGGACCAAATGGGACTGTGTACCAACATGCCCAGCACGTAGCGTCATTTGTACCCTGACCCTCAACCAGCCCAGCCCTGCACAACTTCTGACCTCTGTGCCTTCCTGTCTAGGCCTTTGAGGAGTGCCCTGCCCTCAGCAGGCCTTCCTTTCAACCCAGCAGTGCCACAGACTTCATGCATGACCTCTGACAGGCCTCCGCATTTCCCCATCTGAACGGTTGGACTAGAAGATTCCTAAGGCCTGAGCTCTGAACCAGGAGCGGCAGCTGGTTCTTGCTTCCAGTGTTCCCCTTCTCTAAAAGCTGAGCTGATGAGACTCCATGTAATGGGGAAACTGGGCCAGGAGAGCGGGGCCACGATTTGCTTGGAACTTTCTTCCAATGGGCCTGACTAGGCCAGAAAGGACAGGGCCAGAGCTGGAACGAGGCCTGGTCAGGGCTGCTGGGGGTGGGGGAGTGGGGGGTGGAATCTGAGGGAAAATGTGTTAGCTCTGGAGGCCGCAGGCCAGGCCTGAGCCTCCTGGGCAGCTTTCTGCTTACGCTAGGAAAGCAGAGGAAGGGACTGTGTGTCCCTCCGTGGGCACAAGGCAGGGCTGGAAGGGGGCGGGGTGAAGGCAGAAGTGGGCACTCCTGTCCCCATGAGGCTTACCACACAGCCACCGCCACAATCTTCATGACAGACTCATTGAGGCACTGGCAAAAGCTGACTAGAGGGGTTCCATTGTCACCCATACGGCCCAGCATGATGCCTGCAGGGGCAGGGACACACAAATTTATCATGGATGCCACAGACTGAGATGCAGAGGTGCACCGGCACACGCTGGTGGCAGAGTGGGGACAGAGCCACACGTGCATGGAGCCCGCAGGCCTTGGCTGACTTCCCAGCAGCCTTTGACATACCAGTGCTTCCCCCCACCTCTCCCTTCCTTCTCCTCAGTCTCCATCACTGGACCAGGAATCTCCTCTCGTCCTCCTCTCTTCCATAAAAAGGCTCCCTGCCAAACACCTCCCACTGGCTCCCTGAGCCCTTAGATCATCACCAAGTTCCCTGCTGCTCCAGGCCCCAGTGCATCTGACCCCTGTCCACACCTCCCACCTCCACCTGGCGCCATTTTTCACCTCCTCACTATGCTCTGGCACCACTGGCCTTCCTTATGTTTCTAGAATACATCAAGCTTCTCACTGACGCAGGTTTGCTCACGTAGGACCTGGTGCCTGAAACACTGGCCACCCAGCTCTGCACATGGCCTGGACACCCACCAGGCCCCTCAGCACATTCCCTGTTCTGCTCTGTCTCATCTCTTTCTGATCAATTTATATCACTTATTACAATTTATAACTATTATTTTCCAGTTCTCTGTTGTTCCTTCTCATCTCCTCCAGCAGAAAGTTAGCTCTGTGAGGGCAACAACAGAATTGCCTTTGCCGGCATATTGTAGGTGCTCAATGATAAGCACCCAATGACTGAAGGAGCAAAGGAACAAATAATAAAGCCTTTCCTGGAGCCCCTATTATTCCCTTACCTCCAGAAGCACCATCAGGCCACTCCTGAAACAGTGAGAAGGGACAGCTGTCCCTTCTGGTGACACAAAAAAAGCACTCTGTGGTTACCCTTGGAAAGCTTACTGGCAGTGTGCTTGGAGAGACTCACCGCCTAGCTCAGCTAGGGAGAAGCAGGGCTGGGATTTGAACCCTGGCCTATGTGACTCCAGAGAGAGGCCGTTTCCCTGCCCCAGAAGCCTTGAGCCCACACTGTCCACAGAAGAGCTACCACATGGTGATGGGATGACATGCAGGCCTTGCTGCTATGGGTAGGAGAGGCTCAAGTTGGAGGTAACACAGCCTAGCCCTACCCGTCTGGCCTGTGGAAGGCTGGCTGAGCTCAGACCCAGGTCCCCTGCCAGCTCTATCCCTCCTCTTCCTGGCTAAATCAACCTCCACTTAAATTTCCCTGGAGGCACCTAAGGGCTCTGGCTGCCTGGGTGCTAGTGTGCATGGGACCCAGGGTGTGGCAAGAGGCCTTCTGCAATAGTTAAGGCCAATGAGGCCTTAACATCAGCCATGTCCCAACACCAGAAAGGAGCGGGAGAGGAGGTTGTATGGAGGGGACCAAAGAAAGTCCCATCCAGAGCAGCTGTGCAAGTGTGCATGCTCACACTCAGATGTGGGCACACACAGACAGATGTACATACACACCTGGGCACACATGCACAAACACAGACCGACAGGTGGGCAGTTATACACATCCAGTCAACACTTAGTGAACTGAGTCCAAGGGTCCTGGAGTTTCTTTCGCTCTGCCAGTAGACGTCCTGTTATATGTTCCCACCTCTAAGAGAGGTGGCTGGGGAGGAGGACTATCCACTGGGGACCGATGACCAGATGTGCTGTGAACACTTCCAAGCACCACCCTGTCAGACACTCAGGTCCCTGAGGCCCTGGCCTCTCTGTGTGCCTGAACTTTGAGCCAAGATGATAAGAGCTTCCTTATCCCCCAGGGCCCATCCATTCATCCAGCCATCCACCCATCTCTCCAACAGATTTTCCCGCGTGCCTGCTCCCGCCAGTCCGTGCGGTGGGCTGTGGGGACCAATGCGGAACAAGCCAGGCCCATCTCTGCCCGCATGGAGCTCACACCAGCTTCTGGGCGACTTCAACAGAAACAGATAGATAACTGCAGTAGGTCAAACATTTAAGGAGGAACATGGGGCACCTGACTAGTCTAGGGGGTTGGGGACACGATGCTAATGTAGACCTTCATCCCCGGCAGGGATGGGAAAGTTACAGGGGAGAGTTAGGGACAGGAACAGCCAGGTGGCAGGAAGTGGGAATGTCTTTCGGGAGGCGGCTTCCGGAAACCGGAAACCGGAAACCGGAAACTAAAAGGCAGCATGGCGGGCGGGGGAAAAAAAGCGGGAGCGGAGGAGCTTGGGGGCGGGCTGGGCCAGGTCTTTCAGAGCTCCGCGGGGCTCGGGCCCCCCTTTCCGAGTTCTCTGGAGAGCCACTGGAGGCTTTTTGCAGGATTTTGCGGGCCAGTGAGGAGGACACACTGGGGCAGGAGGCTCTTGCAGAAACGAGGTGAGAAATGACGGTAGCCCAGAATCACAGTGCTGGCAGAGGGCAGAGGGAAATGCGGGCTCTGAGAGAGGTTTCAGAGGTAGACCTGACAGATCTGGATGTGGGCTAAAACAGAGGCCGAGGCAGAAAATGGTGCCCGGCTATCCAGTTTGAGCAACCAGGGGGACCGTGAAAAAACCTTGTGGAGAAGTCAGGGAGGTAGGAGAGGCTCTCCCAGGCCCTTATCCCAGGATGAAGAGGGAGGTTGATGCCAATTTTAGAGTAAGACTCACAATGATCTCTGACATGGTTTAGAAGGACAAGATGGGGATTGATGAGCTGGATTGTTCTGGATGGCTTGTCTCCAAGAAGGGGAAGGGTTTTGTGTATGTGTGTGTTGGTATTGGTGGCGAGGGCACTGCTGGCAGAAGCAGGCCCATAGGTTTTTGTGGGATCTGAAGCTTATACAGTTTGGGGCTCTCTCTAAGAAAAAGAATACCTTTTTTTTTTTTTTGTAAGAATGTACAGAAAGACCTTTGCAAGTTAAGCTTCACTTGCTTCACGGTAATAGCCTATGGTTGGGGGTCCTGGCAGCTCCCAGAGAAGAGTAGCAAAGGGCAGGGTGTGGTCAGGGAGGCCAGCTGTGGGCCCTGAGAAGGGACACATACATGTGGGAGGAGGCACTTGGTTAGTGAGAAGCCCCTGTGGGAGATGGAGGGAAGAAATAAGGGGGCTTTAGAGAGATGGTGATGACTGAGAGCGTTTTAGATTTTTCCTCTTCTTTATTGTAACCTCCCCTCACCCTGCCCCAGGATCCCCAGACCTCAGTAAAATGGAACAGGCTGCTGGGAGAGAGTCCAAGGGATGGTAATCTTTAAGGGCAAGCTGACACCCCTGGAGGCTGACTAGCACCCAGGGATGGAGAATTCCAGGTGAGGAACCCTGACTCCAGCAGGGGGTAGGGTGGGAGACACCCCTCAGTAATGGAATGGGGACTTGAGCCACTGGATAGGAGAGAAAAGAACCACCTGGAAAATGGGAGACTCCAGGTTATTCACATCAGTGGGTATAGGTGGCAAAGGATGGATGCAGAAGGGGACTGGCTCCAGGCCACTGCCGGGGGTGGGGGAGGGCAGCACATACCCATGGTGGCAGAGAAGATGACGATGCCCAGCACATTCATGCCATCGATGGTGTCAGGCTCTGACTTGTAAACAACCTCAGGTGGTGGGGTCAGGTCCAGGGCGAAGTTTTGAACATGAGAGCCATTCTCTTCCTGGATCCCGTAGATGAGGATTTGCCGAGAAGGGGCCTCTTCGGATGCCATCTTGGGGGATTTGACAACGGGGGTGGTCTTGGTGCGGTACTAGTGGACAAAACCCCAACCAGGAAGGAGTCAGGGCCAAATACTGTTCTTAATATCATCAACAACAATAATAACATCTTGGAGGCACCTTTGTATGCGGTCAAGAACTATTTGATTGACAATAACCCTGTGAGGTAGGCAAGAGTATTACCAAGATTTTACCAAAAAGAAAATTGAGATTCCTTCAGCCATGGACACACTCCCCAGCCATGTGTCTCCCCAAGCCTTCCTCCATCTTCTTCGTTCTCTGCAACATCACACCCATCTGGGTTCCCCTCTACCCATGTCCTCTTCTACCCAGATAATTTTCCATTCACTCATCTATCCCTCCCAAGCATCCATTTTCCCTCCATCTAACTGCCAGCTAGCCCTGCCTGCCACTGATGGAAACTTGGACCTTCTCTTTGAAAAGCTCAGGTTGCCCCAAGCCTTCTTAAAGAGAAGAAGATCCATCTGGGAGGAACTGAACCTCCAAGCCTCTTCCTTTCCTCCTCTGCCCCAGGGCATTCCTGCGTCTTTCCCCCTCACTCCTTGGACACTAGGAGCCCAAACAGGGAGTCTTCTATCCTCCCAACACCGTAGTGTTAATGAGGTAGGCCTTCTGGGGGGTGGGGTGGGGGAGCCACTCAGGAAATACATGGGCCCTCAACTTTCTGTGCTTCAGTGTCTTCATCTCTAAAATGGGGGTCACAGTCACACCTAGCTTGTTAGATTAAATGAGACAACATACGTGAAGTGTTTAGAACAGCGCCTGGCGTGTGGGATCCCTTATGTGGCCATCGCCACTGTTATGCCACCACCACCATCGTCATCATCATTCCAACATTGAACATGCTGTGGTGGGGGAAGGGAAGCAGGGAAGCAAAGATGAACTGGACGTGAATTCTGCGCTGAGAACTTTGGAAAGGGAGCGAGCTACTTTGCCTCTTCACAGCTTCACAAAGAAAGGGATATTTGAGCAGGGTCTTGAAGGATGGGTAGGAGTTTGCCAAAAGAGAAAGGGCATTCCAGGTAGGCATGAGGTTGAACAACATTCAGTGTTTCTTTTTGACACCTTCAATAATTCACTATCACCACTGGAATAAAATCAGAACTATCTCGCCTAGCATTCAGGGCGGGCCACTGTCTGGCTCATTTCATAGATAAGGCCCAGGAGATTGGGAAAGATACAGTGATTAGCTCAGGGTTTCACAGCTCCTTATTTTGGAGCCTTTTCTCCAACCCTCAGCCTCTTCCTTTGTGTCCTCGCTCCCAATGCAGGGCCCAGCACAGGCAAGGAGGTCGGGAAATGCTTGCTGGATTGTCAACCAACAAGCAGACATTTTATGAGGGGTAAAGAATTAGAAAGTATTAGAAGGGCAGACAAAAACTGGCACACAAGGGTATTTACCATCATTTTTTCCAAAAAGGAAACACTTTGAATACAGCCTTAAAGCCCACCGGAAGGAGGGATGGCCCCACCATGGGCTTTTACATCCCCACAAATACTGTATTTTAAAGAAACACTTAATAACCAGGGCAAATGCTCATGCTATAATGAGCGTGGGGAAAAAGCAAGATACACACTGTCTGTGCACCATTATCCTGATTTTGTTTAAAACATTTAAGCAGAGAGAAAAGACTAGAAGTGTCCCACCTAGTACTAACTGTTGCTTGGTCCTAGAACAAGAGATGATTTTTATTTTCTACTTTGTACTTGGAGTATTTTCCTAATATTTTACACTGAGCATGATTAGTATTCTTGCTCCTGGGAAAAAGGGTTATTTTGTTTTATTTTATTTTATTTTTAAAAGATTTTTCTTTATTTATTTCAGAGAGAGAACACAAGCAAGGGGAGAGGAAGAGGGTTAGGACCCTGGGATCAGGACCTGAGCCAAAGGCAGCAGCTTAACCGACTCAGCTAGTCAGTTGCCCCCAAAAAGGGTTATTTTAAAAAGAAAGAGAAAACAGGCTTAGATGCCAGATAGGCCTGGGTTTCCTGATCAGCAGTGTTATTTACAAGCTGTAAAACCTTGAACAGTTCCGGGGCACCTGGGTGGCTCAGTGGGTTAAGGCCTCTGCCTTCGACTCGGGTCATCCTGGGATGGAGCCCCGAGTCAGGCTCTCTGCTCAGTGGGGAGCCTGCTATCCCCCCCCACCCCCGCCTGCCTCTCTGCCTACTTGTGATCTCTATCAAATAAATAAATAAAATCCTTAAAAAAACAAACAAACAAAAAAAAAAAAAACAAAAAAAACCTTGAGCAGTTCCTTTAATCCTTCTGAGCCTCCAGCCTCAGTTTCCTCATTGGGGACAGGGGACTGGCGCACAGAGTGCAGGCTTACTGTGAGGACCCAGTGATTCAGGGTGTGTGAGCAGGGGTGAACCTAGAGCACGGGGGGCTCCCCCAACCTTGTCAGTTCTCTTCCTGAGAAGCTGGAACCATGGGTAGGGGTCAGCCAGGGGAGGCTGTAAGGATTTCGGTCTCCCCACCTCCCCTGCTCTCCAGCATCTGGCCCCAGGAGTCAGGGAGACTTGCTGGGTAAACCTGACACCCCCCCAGCCTGGCCCAGGCTGGCCATGGCTGCCCCGCTCCCTTGCCCTGGGACCCACTCACCTGTTTGAATGTGGCTTCCACCAGGTTGGCTGGGAACATGTTCCTGGGAAGAGAGTCAGTTACTGAAGAATTCCAGAGGCCAGGACAGGAAGGCCCATGGGGTCATCTGAACACCTCCCTTGGCAGGCAAGGCCTTCCGTGACCTAGCCCACCTCCCTCTGACCTTTCCTCTTCCTAACACCAATCACGCGTAACCCCCACCCTCCCCAATCCCCAGTACTCAAAACTCCAATACCAATTGCATATGGTTCTCTAGAAGCACTGCATACTTCTCCAGCAGCCAGGCCTTGGTCTGCACTGTTCCTTCTGCCTACAGTGTCCTTCCTGCTTCTCTGGCTAGCTCCTACTCCAGCCAGTCAGAGGCCCTGCCTTCTCTGATTGCTGGCCGACTCTGCAGGCCTTTCCTTGGGGGTCACCCATGTTCCAGAGTGCTGCAGTGTGGCCCTGGCTTACCAGTCTGCACCCTCCCCCAGCCTGGCCTCCCAGAAAAGTCAGTGGTTCCTATCTTATCTGTGGTGCCCAACACAGGCCACATAAATGAGATCATAATTCCTATTAACGTTATTTTCATAAAGCTAAAGGAAGAGAGGTCTTGTCCTACCAGATATGAATGTACAGTATAAAGATAGACTTTATGGTATAATATTGACACAGCTGTCAACAGAAAAATTAGAGGAGAATAGAACCTAGTACATCTAAGTACCTCATTAAAAAAAATAAAGTGTATTTATTTGTTTTAGTAATTGCTACACCCAACATGGAGGTGTATAGCCATGACCCTGAGATCAGGAGTCCCACACAATCCTGACTGAGCCAGCCAGGCTCCCCTGAGTGCTTCGTTTTTGATAAAAGTCATTTCACAGATCAGTGAGGAAAGGAAGGATTTGTCATAGAGTACTATGTAGGCGAACCAACTATTTAAATTAAAAAAAAAAGTTAGATCCCTATTTATGCTTTGCATCAAAATAAATTCCAGATAGGTTAAAGAAATAAATAATTTAAAAAATGAAGCCATAAAAAGCTAGAAGAAAATATAGGTTAGTATTTTTCAGATCTCAGAATATGGAAGGACCGCCTAAGATAAAAAAAAAAAATGAGCAATTAAAAATATCAATAGATTTTACCAAATAGAAATTAAGAATGTTCTGAGTGCAGCACAGTATCCTGGGTTGGATTGGGGGGGGGGAGGCAGAAAAAAAGACAGTGGAAAGACTGGTGAGATCCAAACAGGGTCTGTAATTTAGTTAATAGTGTTATACTAATTTAGTTTTTTAGTTTCCACATCTGTGCCATCGTTATGTATGCTGCTAACATCAGGGAAAGCTGGGTGAAAGGTATGTGGGAACGCTCTCTCCTGTGTTTGCAACTTTTCTGTACACTTACAATTATGCCAGAATACAAAGCTAAATTGAGAAGTTCTCTAAAACGCATTCAAATACAAATAAAATTATAAAGCAAATGACAAACTAGGGAAACTATGTGACAAAGTATTATCATGTAAATCTAGAAAGAGCTTTTATAAATCTTGTCTTTGTCTCCTTGTTCACTGTCTCTTCTCTCCAGAACACCAGCTTCCTGGAAGGCCGAGAGCTCGGTTTTGTTCCCTGCTGGGTCCCAGGGGCTGGAAGACTGGCTGGCACGTAACAGGCCCTTGGCATATATTTGCTGCATAAATAATGGGACCACAGGAACACTAGGACCGCAACAGAAAAATGATCAGAAGTCATGGCCAGGCAATTCACCTCACAAAAGAAGGACCGTAAGTAGCCCCAAAACGCTTTTCTAAAATGTTCACCTTCATCGATAAATTAGACATTTTCACCTCTCAAACTGGTAAAGGATTTTTCGATGACAATACTCAATACTGAGCAGGTTTGGCGACATGTCCAGCCCCCCCCCCCCCCCCCCCCCCCGCCCCCGCTTCTGTAAGGAAATTTGCAATTCCCCTTGCACCTTTGTCTTTATAATCCACTTCCAGGAATCTTTCCTAAATCAGAGGTGTTCACAAAGATTTTTGTTCGTGTGCTTGCATTTTCTCAAACAGGCCATGTGGACTGGCCTTACCACTCATTCCTGCTCTTGGCAAACCTCTTGGCTTTTAAGACTCTGCTCATACATGCCTGGAATTATATACGAGAGTATGGGTGTACGTTACTTCTTAACCTTACACCCCAGCAGTCACTGTTGGAAAGCGGAAACTATAGTTTTTTTCTTCACTGTTGCTGATATATAGGTTCAATGTGAGCATATGGCAGGAGGAAGGGAGCTTAGAAAGAGCTAGCAAGACAGAAAGAGTGGGTCCTGGCTTTTCCCACTAATTTTAGCTTTGTCAGGAGAGAAGCAGCAGGCTTCTGAGGAGACTGGGGGTCCCAGGGACTGGGATCTCAGAAGCTCAAATGAGCACCCCCTCACCCGTGCCTGCAGTTTTAAGCAGATTCCTGCCACCAGAATAATATCTGGCTGCAAGGGCTTTTGACCTTATCAGACCCGAAGCCCCAAAGCCAGGGTTAGCATAGGGGGCTCACCAGACACACAGCTGCCAGAATGTACCGATCCACGGGGCTTGGGCCCTCGTGACCAGAGGGAAGGATGCTCTGGCTGTACCCGTGGTTCAGAGTTTGAAAATCTCTCCTGGGCATAACCCCTGAGATGCAAAGGACTTACAAGGTGGTTTACTAATGAAACTTCGCAGGAAGGCTACTTTAGCCTGAGCAAAGACTAGGAGCGTTCAAGTTGTCGGAGACCAAATGGAGCTTATACCTGGGATGTACATTTCTTTACAATCCCCTTGAAAATTAGATTTATTTATTTATTTTAAAAAGATTTTATTTGTTTGTCAGAGAGCGCACGCACAAGCAGGCAGAGTGGCAGGCAGAGGCAGAGGGAGAAGCAGGCTCCCTGCCGAGCAAGGAGCCCGATGTGGGACTCCATCCCAGGATCCTGGCATCATGACCTGAAGGGAAGGCAGCCGTTTAACTCACTGAGCCACCAAGGTGTCCCAAAAATTAGAATAATTTAAAACGTGGGTTGTAGCCAGTACAACTGGTTGCCTACACAGTCTCCATTCTCTCCTTCCTTACCAGAAGGAGACCCAGCATGTTACGGGACCCGTGGGGCTCTGCCGTCAAACTCTATTTCCCAGCCTCTCTCGCCAAAGGGGTGGCGCAGGAGATGAAGTGGGAGTCATGGGTGGTGCTTTCAGAAAACTCTTGGAAAGGTGCCTGCTCAGCCAGGACCCTTTGATCCTTTCCTCCAGCTGTCTTCTCTCTGCTTGGAACATGGGTGTAATAGCTAGAGCTTCTGCAGCCTTCTTGGAACATGAGACACACTGATGATAAAAGCCAAGTGGTAAACATGGTGGGGGAGCATGGGATCCTCCTGCCCACAAACTGCCCATCGCTGGACTGCTGATTTGGGAGACAATGAAAGCCTTTACCACAGTTCAGCCTCTGCTGTTCTGGCTTTCTCTTAACTAGCTGCCAATAGCAATCCCTAACTAATACACATGGCTCATACTCACAATCGATGAACTCATCCTTTAGATTTTAATGAAGAATTATACTTTTGATTATTAAACAGGAAAATGTACATTTTCTTTTGACGATGAGTGCCCATGGGAAGTCTTCCCATTTGCCTCATGAGGCCTGTGCTCCCCATGGCGTCAATGCGGACGGAACGCGCTTGGGAGACATTAGCAGCCATGCCCATCAAGTACACACACCCTCTGGCCTGGGCCTTGCCACATGCACTTGGGGCAGAGCCACAGCCTGTCAGCCCCTCTCCTTACCTACTCAAAGTCCCAAGACTGTGATGTTCCAAACTTGCCCCTAATCCATATGTCCCCAACCCCCAAGCATGGCCCCTGAGGGCTGTATCCCATGCCTTACAGGGTAACTGGGAGCTGTAAATAGAGCCAAGTGATTACTTTATCTCTCTGGTGTTTTAATAGGATTAGAAAGAAAGAAGGGGGCCCGCTCTGATTAGCAGCCACTCATGTGGGTGGTTTTCTGTGAGGCTGCACTGTGAGCAGACGTCAGTTTCCTGGAGCCTTGGGAAATGAATTCATGTCTCAGGGAGTCGTCTGGGGACATAGCCTGTTGTGTTCCTTTGGAATCTTCTTTGAGAGAGGGCTGCATATCTTCCTGGCCCTGAGGTACGCCGCTGGCCTTACTCCACTGCTCAGTGAGCCCCTGCATCTCTCTGACTTATCACGGGTTACAGCTGCCTGCACTTCCCCATTCCCTGCCTTGGCCGTCCCTGTTCTCCCTCAGTTACCGACACTCACTGTCCACCTGCTCTGGGCCACAGTGAGTGTGAGGGGGCCCCTGGGACCTTGGGTCCTGGTGTTCTTGTTTTCCACACAGCCTCTTAGAAGGTCAGAGCATCTAGGAAGAATTCCCATGAGTGTCTGTCCTAAGACAGAGGACAGCCTGGTTCAGGACTTGGGTTCACCCCCTCTCTGGACAGTGTCTTTGCCCAGAGCAGGCACCTTATAAGGGGGAGAGAGTGAATGGACCGGAGGTGACTGCACCCCAAATAGGGCATCCCCCTGCCTCCAGTCACATCCTGACCACTTTGCTCTGCCCCAGTCCATCCTTTCCTACTCACCAGCTTCCAGTTTCTAACATAACAGCAAACCCCTCAGCCTGGGTTCAAGATCTTCAGGGTTGGGTTCTGCACTGTCCTCCCAACCTCATCTCCCAGAACCCACCTCCAGAAGTTTCTGCTCACTGGTGTGTAGGCCTTTGTGTTTCAGAACCACAGAGCTAGAAGGGATCTTGAAAACCACTGGGGAAACCAAGGCCTAGAAGGGCCACACTGAGCCTTACTGACAGAGTTGTGACAAGACTTCCTATCCCCAAGGTTCTGGTTCCCCGTCCCAGGAACCATGTGACCTCTCTCTGTGGCCCTACTCTCTGAGAAACAGCTACTGTGATGTCCAACCACTCAGCTCTGCAAAACAACTTGCCTTGGGGTTGAGAGTAACTGGGGAAAAGTTTAAAACCAGAAGGATCAATTTTCACCACGTGAAAAGCAACCAAGAGCAGGAGCCACTCCTGGAACATTTGACTCTGACACGTGTGTCCGATCCAGAGCCCTCAGCCCCTCCACAGGAGAGGCCATGGTGATGAGGGCAGGGACTCCCGAGCACCAGCTCCTTCCACCATGAGGAAAGGCTGTTTCAAATCATTGAATCCAAGAAAGGATGAATCATAGCCACCAACTCTTAGAAATAATGGATCTCAGAAAGGAAGCTTCTCAAAATTCCTCTTCCCTCGGCCTCTAGGATACCTGCTGTCCTGGTGCCCCTCCTGGCCCTCTGCTGCTCCTCTCTGTCAGCTCTGCACAAACCTCCACCATGGCCGGGGGCTGAGGCTCAGCGTGGGCCTCTAAGCCACACACTCTGGACCTTCTCCCTGAGTAGGTGAGTCTCCTCTCCCAGCTCTGACCCCAGCCCCATCAGTGACCGTGTGTTGCACGCCTGCCTTCAGCAAACACTGAGCACCTCCTCTGAGCTGTTCTCGGCTCCAGGATGCAGCAGGGAACAGATTTGCAAAGATCTAGCCCTCATGGAACGTATGTTACTCCAGTGGGGGAGACACAAGAAGAAATAAAAAACACACACAGACAAGATAATGACAGGTAGTAATGAGGACTGTGAGGAGAGAGGGTGACGGAGGTTAGGTGGTCCCTCTGAAGAGGTGACACAGAGCAGGGGTGGAGTGAGGGGAGGAGCCATGCACCCCAGCAAGAAGGTCCATCCAGGCAGAGGCTGTGATGAGGACGGGATCACATGGACATTTGGGGAATGGCAGGAGGCCAGCGGGGCTGGAGGGAGGGGAGGGACAGTTGGAGCAGAGGTCACAGGTGGTGGGGGTGTGGTAGAGGCATCAAGAAGGAGGGGCCTGTAGGCCATAGTGAGCACTGCGGGGTGTGCTGACGTGAGGAGTCCTGAGCACGATCTCTTCGGCCGCTGTGCTGAGACCAGACTCGAGGGAAGCAGAAAGCAGGGTGCTGCGGTTGGACCCTCTAGTGAGAGGTGAGAGTGGTTGGGGAGAGGGTGAGATTGGCACAGGGGGACAGAAGGGACAAAGTCTGGGATAGTATTTAGAAGGTAGAGCTGACAGAATTTGCCAACAAACTGGATGCAGGATCTGAGAGAATGAGAGAAGGTGGCCCAAGTTGGGCAGCCTCCTCCTCTGTCTCCAGCTCAGGCTCTCCCAAAGACTCAGATGCACCAGCCAGCCACCAGCGGACACCTTCCCCAGCATGTCCCCACCTGCTCCAGCATTGTCATGTGACTTGGTGACCTCACAGCTGGGTGTTCAGGCCATTGAGATCAGCACTGCTGCCTCCTCCAACCCCCTCCTCCCTTCTGCCCTGCCTGGCTCCGGCTGGTTTTAGATTCTGACAGCCTCCCGTCTGCCCTTTCCCTGTGCCCAGGGCTGGCACCGTGTCCCTCTCCCTGCCTGTCCTCCCCCTGCCCCCCTTTCACCCTCACTCTGCAGTGGAGTGAGCCTTTTGAATGGGATCATGCCGCTTCTGTTTCAAGCCCATTTCCTATGGCCTCAGTTTTCAGCCTGAGTCACATTGTCCTTCATGATAGGACCCCTTCACTTCCTCAGCAGTGACTGTCTACTCCCCTCTGCCCCAGTGCTCCAGTCACTCTGAGTGGGTGAGGATTTCTCCCCATGCTTTCCTCAGGACCTTTGCATACCTTCGCCTCCACGAAGAATGGGCTCCTGCCTCCCCGGCCCGTGCCACTCATCCCTCCCTCTGCCTCCCCTGAGCCTGCTCTTTGCACTCTCCCACAGCCCCTGCCTCCCTCATTGCGACTCCCACCCCAGACAGTTGTTGCTCTCTATTCGTGAACCTTTCTCTCCTCTGGGACTACGGCCAGGCTTGAGCGCCTGGCACAGGGCAGGCATTGGCAAGAGTGAGTGAGTGATGGAGAGGAGGGGCATGGCCAGCATGGAGTCTTGGAAAAAGGGGTTCAGACTTGGAGGCATTGCTGGGTCTACAGAAATTTCCTGGGGGGAGGGCTCAGGTCCCGGACGCAGGTTAGCCACGTCCACGTGGCTCAGGCAGGGGCACCACCAGGCAAAAATCACTGCCCTTGGAGTCAGACCCAGGCTGAATCCCAGCTCTATGACTCGTCCGCTGGATGACCCTGGAAGAGTCACGTCATCTCTTTGAGCCTCACCCCCTCGTCTGCAAGAAGAGGACCAAGAGGGGGACCAGCAAGGAAAAGATGGTGGGGTAGTGATGTATGGAGTGGAGGCTCCAGTGGAGGAGGATGTATCCAGTGGAGGCTAGGTGCACACAGGCAAGCTCAGTCAGTCAGGGAACACCTGCTGATGCTGGCCCAGGGCCAGGCTGCATGCTGGGGTGTGGCTCCTAGGGGAGCCGACCCCTGTCCTGCCCTCGAGGTGCTCCCAGTCTGATGGAGGCAGGCAGCGCAGTGTGAATCCAGTGGACAGCATGGGGGCTGAGGGGACAGAGACGCTGTGGCCACAAGAAGTCAAGAGCAGACCCTGAGCACTCCCTCCCTGTGACCTAAGGGGCTTCCGGCAGACACGCAGGGCCAGGCCTCTGGAGTCGGTGGCCCCAGCCCAGGCCTGGCGTTCCCGAGCAGGGCGTCCGTGTGAGCCTTACCGGATGAGGTCCAGCAGGGCGTCGGCAGAGCTCATGATGGCCTTCCCGCTCTGCTCTGTCCTCTCCTTCTGGGCCGCGCCACCCGGGTGAATGATGGAGACCATGATGATGCCCACAACAACAGCCATGAAGGTGGTCCACAGGTAGTACGCCACGGTGAGGACGCCCAGGCGGCTGGAGGTCTTGGGATCCAGGGATGCGAGGCCGGACATCAAGCTGGGAGAGCGACGTGGGTTAGGGTCTGGGGGTGGGGGGTGTGGGCACTCAGGTGGACCCACTCCTACCCCCCCGGCTCTGCCCAGCATCCTCACAGAGCTGGAGGGACCGTGTGGGCCTGCCCCCCCACCCAGCAATCCAGTCCTGTGGCCCTCCAGCCTGGTTTCCTGCTCTGTCCTCTGGGCCACGTCTAGGGGCAGCAGCCATACCCCTGCACACCTCCAGGCCTTTGCCACTGCTGTTTCCTTTGGCGTCATTTCCAGGTGCCTCCACTCTGCCTGAGTGCTACTCACTAGGTAAGACCAAGTGCAATGTCACCTCTCTGGTGACATTGTGGACTGCCTGCCTGTCTCTGGGGTTAGGAGCCCATTCTGGGGCTTCTGCAGCCCCTGGCCTCTGTCAGGACCCTGGCTGTCACTGTCTACCTGTCTCTCTCATCAGACTGAGGACAGGAGAGGAGAGGGGCAGGTGTGACTTCTCTTGTGTGTCCCCAGTGTGTGTGCAGCATGAGCTCTCAGGGCCGCCACTGCACAGGGGGTCACTGCGGGGCTTGCTGAATGAACTAGTGATGGTGGCAAGTTAGAGCCCTGGGCTGGGTCCCAGTCCTCGCTCTGCCTGGGGGATATCTTTGGGCGTCAGGATCCCATCTCTGAAACAGGGCCAGGGGTTTCTTGGCGAGGCGCCACTCTGTGGCCATCTTGGGCTACCGCCTGGGTCCAGATTCCCCTTGCCACCGTCTTGGGAGGTTGTGTTGAGGGGGCTTATGGGTCTCCCCCACTCCCAGCTCCTCCCCACCCCTGCCTGCCTTGCCCTGAGCTCTGGGCCTTCCAGCGAGGGTCAGCCCCAGAGCTGCTCTCCTCCTGGTTGTTGGCAGGGTGGGGTTGAGAGATTAGTTAAGGAGAGGCCTGTGCTTTGCTTTGCTGCCAAAAGGATTTTCCCCCAAAGCCCTTTCGTTCTTCCAGATAAAGGAAGTATTTGTCTGCTTTTAATCATGTAAACAAGAGTAGATAATCCCTCCCCATCCTGCTCCTCTTGTCATTAGACTACAGGCGGGCAGCAGCCCCCATCCAGCCCAGAGCCTAGCAAGCATCTACCCCACCTTGGGCTGTAGCGGCTGCCTGAGTGCTGTGCTCTTCCTCGCTCTGTCAAGACAGTTGAAGGGTCCCCTCCAGGATGCCTTCCCTGACCACTGGCTGGGGACAAGGCTCCTTCTCTGAGCTTCCACAGGCCCAGTGCAGTCCTCTGCCCCAGCCCCCACAGCACTGAGTTGCCTGCTGTTTGGGACCCGGCTGGAGTCTGTTCAATCCTGGGTCCGCAGAGCTGGGCATGGGGCCCAGTCACGTGCAGCTTGGTAGCCATTTGCTGAACAAAGGAGTGAGTGAATGAATGGATGTTCACAATCTCCTTTCATCCCTTGTCTGCCAGTATGCCATATGTTAGTGATGGGCTTAGGGTGGGTCTCAGGCATAAATCCTGAAGGGCTCATAATGGGATTGTGTAGGCAAGGGAAATGGGGGGCTGCCCTGCGATTATGATCCACCAGAGAGATTATCCCCAGCTTGGGGCCAGCACATCAGCCCCGGGCCAAACAACCCCCTGACTGCAACAAATCCCCCATAGCCAAGTCCAACTGCTCACAGGGAAGTGGGGGTCCTGAGAGGACGACCTGCCTGAGGTCGCATGGAACACTAGCGGCCAGCTGAATCAGAACGCAGGCCCCTAACTCCAGTCCTCTTTCCTTGATGTATTTATTCATGTCTTTAATGCATGCCCACTCCATGCCATGCCGAGTCCACAGAAGGAAATCAGAATCACTCCCCAGCCTCAAGCTGCTCCTGGTGTGGTAGGAGGGCAGGACGGAGACAGACTGAGACACTTTAGTACAAGTGGACCCAAGAAAACAGGAGCCAGGGTGGCTGCATTGGTACCATAGGCGAGAGGATGGGGATGTGCTATCTTTTATTAGAGGAGGAAGGGATCACTTCTAGCTAGGAGAGTCAGGAAGGATGTCCTGGAGGAGGGGGCATTTGAGTGGTTCTTGGGAGGATGAGGAGGATTTGGAGATGAGGCAGATATCCCAGGCAGTGAGACAGCAGCAGCCAACAGGGAGGCTGGCAAGTGTGGGCACAGTGTGGTCAGAGCTCAGGTCAAATCAGAGAAACAGTGATATGGGGGATATAGATCGCACTCAGGAGGGGGGTGTGGCCTTGAGTGCCAGGCCAAGTGGGACAGAGGGAAAGGTGGGGTCCAGTATGATTCATCCAGGAGAATTTGCTGGCTGTCTAAAAAGGGAGAACTCCTTAAATCTGAGAACATCTAAGTGTACTGGGAGAGACCCTAAAGTGGTATTTGCGAGAGCAAACACCTGGGACCAACCTAAGAAGGCCAATGCAGAATTAGATCAGGACTCAGGGCCTGGGTGGCTCAGTGGGTTGGGCCTCTGCCTTTGGTTCGGGTGATGGTCTTGGGGTCCTGGGATTGAGCCCTGCGTCGGGCTCTCTGCTCAGCAGGGAGCCTGCTTCCCCTTCTCTCTCTGCCTACCTCTGTCTACTTGTGATTTCTGTCAAATAAATAAAATTAAAAGAAAAAAAGAATTAGATCGGGACTCAGGCCCCTAATTTATCAATGCAGAATTAGATTAAAAGTTACAGCATACCCACGCAATGGCATTCTAAGCAGCCATTAGGAGCGACAGTGTCATTGGAAAGATGTTCTTATTGAAGGTTAGGTGGAAAAAGCAAGGTCTGAGCTAGTCTGTAGCCCTGTGGGGAGCCCCAGAGTCTCCTCTGACAGAGGCCCCTCTCCAGGATTGGGGTCCAGATGCCCTGCACAGACATGCTTGGGGGATTGTGCACAAGAGGCGTGTTCATGACCATCAGATCGCAGAAAGGGGCAAAGGGCTCCTCGGAAGGCCACCCTGAAGAAGACGAGGTCTAACACAAAGGTGGTTCCAACTCAGGAACCACCAGGATATGGGAAGGGAGGGAGTATAGATTCTAGGTACAGCAAGAGAGGCCCCAACCCAGGGGCTCTGGAAAGGATAGGGCTGATGGATAACATGGGAAGAATTCCATCCCCTGGCCTCCAACGAGTTCCCCTCTGGAACCTCCAAACTGGAAGGGTTTTCCTGCTGACTGGAGAGGGGAGGCAGGAGCTCTCAGGGAGGGAGCCGCTGGTAAAAGATGACGGAGCCTCCAGGTTGGTGACCATGGGGGTTGGCAGAGGCAAAGGAGACCGGGAGCTCAGTAGGAGGAAAGCCTGGACCCCTCATGCACGTGGGCCACTCCAGGGACTCATGTTAACAAGAAAGCAAGTTCAAGGTCCCGCCTGTGACCAGAGTGGGCTCCTCTGAGGTCTCAGGCTTTTGGGCCAAGCTGTTAAAGTGACCTTTATGAGAACCTATAAGCTGGGGTAGGGTTGTGAGGACTCGCATGGATATGCACAGAAAAAAACCTACTAGCAAGAGAGATTTTACAGTAGCTTTCTTTGGGAGGTGGGATTATGGGTGATTTTCATTCTGTTGTATTGATTATCTGTGTTCTCTATTATTTCTAGAATGAGCTTGTCTTATTGGTGTGATGGAAAACACAGTCCCTGGAGTACCAGGTAGCCACAGAAACCATAATTTATCTGGACCTTAAATGTCCCCATACACCTGAATATCAACCTCGTTTGATCCTTAAAAAACATTCTAAGTCGGTGCTGCCCTATGGAATCACAAGGTAGGCTACAATTGTAAAATTTTTAATTTTCTAGTAGTCACATTTTAAGTAAAAAAAAAGTAAAGTTCATTTTTTTGTGAAATTCATTTTAATAATACTTTATTTAACCCAGTCTATCTAAAATACTATCATTTCAGTACGTAACCAATATAAAAATGTTTACCTTCAGGTAAACAGGTGTTAAAATTTTAAATTAATTTCTTAAAAAAGTTAAACTCTTCAGTTGCACATTTCAAGGGTTCAGTAGCCCATTTATGACTAGTGACTATCGTATTGGACTGTGCAGTTGGAGTTACAGAGAAGGAAAATAGAGCTCGGGGAGGGGGAGATAATTGGCCAAGCCACCCTGCTGGGAAGCTGTGGAGTCAAGACTGGAACATGGGTTTCTGATTCAGAACCCTGCGGGGCTTCCCCTGCTCCTAGTGCCTCTCCGCTGTACCAAGCTGGTTTAACTCCTGTGGAAGAAAAGTGTCTTCCAGTTTTGGCTGACCATGATTGGAATGTAAGGGAGCTCATGTCATGCCTCTACAGTTCAACTCTCAGAGTTGACGACTTGTCCCTTGATGGATTTGTGGTGGTGAGCCCCCCAGTCTTTGGAGGTATCCAAGTGGAGCCTGGATGACCAGCCACCTGCTCAGATGCTTGATCAAGGCTTCTAGACTGAGGGGGAGATTCTGTGAGGATGACCCTTCTGGCACATAATTTGCAGTGACGGGAGAAAAGGTAACCTTGTCTCACCTACTCCCAGTCTGGTTAGGCGCTCCTTGGAACCCCCGTGGTCCTTCAGGGCCCTGGGGAAGAGCCTTAGGGAGCTGAGAGCTGGGTGGTATGGCTGCCACCCAGAGCCAAGGGATTGTGGATGAAGAGATTGCAGTGACTGGGGAGCCCAGCCAGTTTCAATCTGGGAACTGCTCCACTTGCAGGGGTTGGGGGAAGGGAGGCAGCAGCTGCTGGGCTTCTCATGGAGGGCAAAAGAGGCTGTTTACTGGCCATCACCTGGTTCTAGCACCAGCTGCTGAGGTGGGGATCATGCCCACCTGACCCCGGGAGCCACCACTGCTGCTGTGCCCTGCGCTGGGGACAGTGGACAGAACACCTGGACTGTTGGCCACTCCCCACCCCCATCCCATTTGAAGTCCTTGGTGGCTCTCCACTGCCCTCAGAACTTTGCACCCTCCTTCATGGCCTTGGGTCCAGTGTGGCCTGACTCAGTCTCAGCTCCTCGCCTGTACTCCAGCCACCCTGGTCTCCCTGCTGCTCCCTGAACCACCTTTGCAC